AAACAACAAACAAAAAAACACTGATTGTGTGTGTTTGTGTTGAACGGACTAATCTGCTGTACAGGCTTCGAAGTTATTCATGGGTGAAGTTGGGAATAATAACATTAAAGTCTGTGGCACCTCTAGTGGCCATTAGAAGAACTACAATCTTTGGTGCTTCCACATGGGCTCTTTTTTCCAGGGCTCGGTTCTGCAGCGTGGTGCAGATCTGTGGCCTGAATGTAGCGGCAACACACGAGGCACAAACTGGGCTACCATTACTGCAAATTGATTATTAGGATAGATAAACAAAGCAGACACAAACCAGCTTGATATGTGGTGTATTGCATTTGACCTAAAGACTTTCAAAAGCAAAGTTATCAAATGAAAGCTTTTCATTTTACACTATTAAAGAGTGTCACTTATGTGGCCACTTTCTGTTGTGTTTTCATTGACCGATTTTACATATGCCGAGTCCAGCATGGGCACACAGTAACTGGACTGAATGAAGGGAACCTGGAAATGTCAAATACAACAAATCAAAAGTAATTCTTCTGTCCTCAACAACCGCTTTACATTAAATAATACTAAAAGAGGCATTATAACAGATTACATTTCAAATCCATGAAATTAAAAAGAAAGAAAACAATAATAAAACAACATGCATCAAGGTTAACGTTGAGGAGGAGCTCAGAGCAGTTTTTGCTTGTTTTACTCTTTCTGTCCAGGACTGAGGAAGAAAAAGTGCTGATTAAACTCGCAGAGGAGCCTCGCCCACCTCGACGACTCCGTGGTTTGAGAGAAAAGGCAAATCAGGCCTCGAGAGCTCAGTCCTGAGTCACCTGCCAAACGATAAGGTGGCTGCGCTCAGCTTTAGGCTGAAGTTTGATGGGGGCGTCCTCCGCCTCCTCCATCTCTCCGTCCTCATCGCCTGCAGACACACAAGTCGTCATGTTCTCCTCTACAACCACTGCGCCGTTACCGACTGGTCTGTAAGCACGTCATGCAATAAACTCACCCATTCTGAAGTCGATGTAGCCTTCGCCTCCGCTCATCACCAGCATACACTTAGTTCCTTCCTGAGTTGTGGCATCTGCCGCCTTGTCAGCAGCTGCTTCTCCTGCAGACGATGCAGATGGAGCTGCGTGACCTGAAAGCACAGAGGGACAAACTGTAACCACCGCCAGGCTCCAGATCACATCTGCTCAGCCACTTTTTTCTAGTTTTCACATTTAGCCCTTGTTAATTACCAGAATTACACCCAGTCAGATTTCAGCTCACTAGTTAGTCAGCTGTTTGAGAATGACAGGAACTATGACGAAGCATTGC